TATATATATATATATATATATATTTGTGTGTGTGTGTAGAAGTTCAAACGAGAACCTCTGTGATTTACGAGAATGTTAAAACACTTGTGGGTCTCAAACCTTTTTAACCAATAATTTAAGTTATATTAAATAAAAATAAATTATTAAGGATAGTAATGTAATTAAGTATTTTTTATAATTTTTATTTTATTTTAATTAATTGGAATTATCCTCCAATCATTTTAGCTTGGGATCGATCATGTTGAGTAGAACATCCATCATTTTCTTCCCATCTTTTTCTCCTCATTGTATCTGAAGTTTCAAAATCTCTTGATATATTAGCGTGATAATCGTGAACCTAATCAACTCAACCACCAAATTTTCTATCACAATCATTTTGTTTCCATTTGGTATGATAACAATGTGATTATCGTGAACCTAATCGATTCAACCACCAAATTTTCTATCACAGTCATTTTGTATGATAACAGTGTGATAATCGTGAATCTAATCGATACAACCACCAAATTTCTCATCATAGTCATTTTCTATCCATTGGGTATGATAACAGTGAGATAATCGATAGAATTGTGATACCGAATGAAGTGCAGTCATATCAGGTGATAATCATGTGATAACCTATACACGGTTGGCTGTGATAATCGTGTGATGGTGGAAGCTAACTGAACCGAACAAATTGTAGTCGGACCTAAATACGAATCGTATCTTGTGAAAACCGATTTGTCTTTGGGTTAACATATCACATTATTATCACACCCAAATATAAACCGTGTATATACGTTAACCCTAGTCAAATCGATTCTTCCTCCTATCTTCTTAAAACTTATGACACCTTCTTCCTCTATTATTTAAGATAACCACCAGAGCTCATGATGTTATCAATTCCTAGATTATCCTTTCGCCTCCCAAAACTTTTTAAATTGTTTTTAATATTATTTTAAATTAAAAAATTCTCTTAATTTTGATTGTTATCACATTACTTGGTTGGTAGGTTGTTCTTGCATTCTCGTAAATCATAAGGGTTCTCGTTTGAACTATTTCATATATATATATATATATATATATATATATATATATATATATATAGGGTTGGGTTCTGATGAGAAGGGAAGTTATGGTGAGAAGCATAAGAAGAGATGTACATTAGAAGAAGATGCACCGAATCAATTCTCGTATCAAACGCAATTTATGGGTGGGCATGAAGTTAAAAGTGAACTAGGGTTCAAATCTGTGTGTATTTACACATAAGGACCAAATCAAATGAGAATTATAAAAAAGTTATAAACCCATAAGAACAGATTTAAAAAATATTCTTTTAACTGTAATTTTCATTTCATTAGATGAACAAAAAAATATTTCACATGTAATTTTTTTCACAAATTAAACATAAATATATGTGAAACAATATCCAAAATTATAGATCTTTATGAAAAAGAACATTTAAAAAATATTTGTATATCTGTTCTCACGGATTTGTAACCTTTTTATGGTTCTCATTTTAAAATGAATCATATAAAAAATATACACAAGGGAGGTTCCAACGAAGACACTCACGATTTATGAAAATACAAGAACACCTCCGATCTAGATACCTCAGTCAATTCAACAATTAATTAAAGTAAAATTGTGCATAAAAGTGGGGATTTAATAGAATCCATTGAACACTTGTTGGTAAATTGGGGACAAAAACGATCTTTTAGAAATTGATTACATTTGGACATGCAATTAATAACGATGTGATCTATGTGATTATTATCCCAAAATACCATTCACTGTCAACATCAAATTCGTAAACAACGCGTCATATCATTTGTCTTATTTTGATACAACAGTGTGTTTGCCTACGTCACCGGTGATATTTGCTCAAAATTTGGAAGCGAACTGTAACGAAATCAACAAACAGGGTTGGTTTTGGAAGAATCTAGCTTGTGAATCCAGTGTTCGTCACAACACTTGTGATAACTTAGTGCAACAATATGTTCTGTTTCAGGGTCATTTACGTAATATCACTTGTATAAGACTTGTTCCTTTCTTCCCATTAAATGGACAACAATTTCTTCTCTACAACTTGTTATTACTATTTTGAAATCTAGTTAGAACTGGTTCTTACTCCGTCTACAAATCGTAACAAAAACCCGACAACTTACAAGATCCAATTTGAAAACCCGAATTCAAGTTCATGTTATGTATATATAGATACGATTGTATATATGTATCATCAAGTCACACTGATCGAGAATACTTCAGATAAAACAACGATTTCGACTATCAAAGTAGAAGTTTGTGGCACACTATGTATGGTGAATCAAGCTTGATGACTTTTGTCCACCAAATATTTCACTTTTGAAGTTTCATACCAACAAGACAATCAAAAGATAATGACACCTTCTAGCATAGCATACATGGGGACATTATTGATTACACAAGGCTTTTTGAGTGGATTGCTAGCAGAAATAAGAGTAAAGTACAAATTTCACCCTTGTGGTTTGTCCAAAATGGTACTTTTCGTACCTGTAGTTTTGAAATTACAAGATGGTCATCATGGTTTGTAAAAATTTCCGAATTTGATCTCTTTCCTTTAACGGCATTAAAAAAATTCACCAAACGAAGGGGATTTTTGTCCTTTTACTCATTTTATTATTATTATTATTTACCTGGTCAAAAACCACATGGACAAAACTGTAGTTACTCGTTTTATATTTTATACTGTACGTTTTCAATGATTATAACTTTAATAATAAGAAAAATGAAGGAATTTCATTAAAATTATTGATTAGTAGGTAAGGGTTGGGTTCACGTGAGACCAGACTGTTTTCATGAGACCCGTAAGACCACATTTTTACACTTGAAACTTCACAGCAAAAACATTGTGAAGGTTTAAAAAAGTCGAACCTTCACAGCAAAAATACTGTGAAGGTTACTTTCACAGCATTTTGCTGTGAAGTTTCAAGCGTAAAAAACTGGTCTCACGGGTCTCACGAAAACAGGATGGTCTCACGTGATCTCAAGTCTAGTAGGTAATATCTTATTTCTTTTCAATTTATATCACTACAACAAAACCGGGTTTATAGGACATTCTTAATTTCTAAGCGTCCTAATAGACCTCTTTATAAGACTTAGTTTATATACCAAAAAAATAAAGTGTCATATCTAAAGGCATTGTAATAAGTTTATATGATGTTTTTTGACGTCATAATATGTTTTTAGCATACTTTTAATATAAAGCGTACAATTAGCAAATTTATAGGACACTATTTAAAAAACTGTCCTATAAAAACAATTGTCCTCTAAAAATTGAGTTTATAGGACACTTTCTCAAAAGTGTCCTATAAAGTTTATAATTCGACACTTTGTATCAAAAATGTCCTAAAAAACTTGTTAAGACGCCCAAAAGCGTCATATAAACTTATTACAACACATTTAGATATGACGCTTTATATTTTGGTCCTATAAATTAAGTCCTATAAAGCGGTCTATTGGGACGCTTAGAGAGTAAGGGTATCCTATAAACCAATTTTGTCGTAGTGTATATACAATATTAAAATATCATAAAGAAATAAATAATAAAAAAAAGAACAAGAAATAACCTACAATTTTGGTCTCCGTGGTTTTTAATTGGGTAAAGACAAAAAAAAACAGTAAAAGAACGAAAACATCTGTAATTTAGCGAAATTTTTAACGACCGTTAGAGAGAGAGACTGAATTCGGACGTTTTCAGAAACCACGATAGCCATCTTATAATTTCAAAACTTCAAGGACGAAAAGTGTTATTTTCAACAAAACAGAGGGACCAAATTTGTAATTTAGCCTAGAGATAACTTTGTAGTGAGCTTTATATATTTTCTGGAATCAGGAACCCACTTAACACATAAAGAAGCACATTAAGCTATTCCATCCTCTTTAACATCTCCACCTTTTCTAAAGCCTATTGTGGTTTGATTAGACACCTGTTCAACCCCATACACATAAAGATCAAAAAGAAGAAACAATATCTCATAAACCGGGTAAATTGTTGCATACGATGTCGTTTTGATTGACTACAATCTTACCCGATAAGTAAATGATAGTGTTAATTTTTGCCGGTAAGCACTTACTGGGTAAGTGTTTGGTAAATGGCCCCTTACATATATACACTATAATAAAATCGGATTTATAGGATGCTTCAAATGTTTAATTGTACTGATAGAGTGTCTTATAGGACTTAATTTTATAGGAACAAAAAATTAAGATCTTATCTAAAAGTGTTACAATAAATTTACAGAACGTTTTTGGACATCGTAACAAGTTTTTAGAATATTTTTAAAATAAAGTGTTGTATTAATTATTTTATGTGATAGTTTTGAAATGTGTCCTATAAACTCATCTTTTTATAGTACATTTTTTCAAATCATGTCATATAAAGTAGCTAACACGACACTTTATTTTAAAAATGTCCTAAATAACTTATTATAACACTTTTATATGATCCTATAAGTTCACTCTATTATAACATTTAAACAGTTAAGACGTACTGTAAACTTAATTTTATTATAGTGATAATTTATCTGCTTAGTTGCATGATACTACTTTATATTTACAAATGTCTTAATTAGGTTTTGGACATGACAATTTGCTCTAAAATATGCTATACTAATTCATTTCGAACCCGAATCCATCAATTGGGTTCTTTCGTGTTGTTTGATGACTTGCAAGTATCGAATCCATGACGGTCTGCTTGGATCAACAATTGCACAACCTCGTTCATGCTGGGACGAACTGTGGCTATCTTGCACGTACAAAGAATGGCTATGCGGAGTACGTTTATCATCTCATCCGCGAAAAACCCTGATAACTTCTTGTCTAGAATCTCGATTGCGCCCTCCTTTGTCTCCACTTTGGTTGAAATCCAATATATAATGTTCTTGTTTTCTCCAAATTCGGCTTCGACTGGCTTCTTCCCAGTTATCAGTTCCATCAACACCACCCCGAAACTATAGACATCACACTTGGTTGATGCTTTGGATGAATATGCATACTCTATCATCATAAACACCAATCAAACATAAGTTACCGACTCAAGTTCGACTTCCCACTAAAACAAAACCGCGTTTATTGGACGCCACAACGTCTAAATGTCATAATCAACTATTTTATAGGACTTAACTTTGTAAGAACAAACAATAAAGCATTATGACACTAAAACTGTTGTAATAAGTTTATATGATGATTTTGGACGTTTAAACAAGTTTTTGTTAAGACCTTTTAAAATAAAGTGTCATATTAGTTATTTTATAGTATACTTTCGAGAAGTATCCTGTAAACACATCTTTTCATGGACATTTATTTTTATATGACACTTTTTTCAAATAGTGGCATACAAAATAACTAATATGACGTTTTATTATAAAAACATCCTACAAAAGCTTGTAAAGACGCTCAAAAGCGTCTTATAAACTTATTGCAACACCTTTAGATATGACAATTAATCGGTTGGTCCTATAAAACAGTCTATTGGGACACTTTAAGCGTCCTATAAACCCAATTTTGTTGCAGTGGCGGTTTCAAAATTCGAATATTTACCTGGTGCTAAGTAACCATATGTCCCCGCAACAACGGTTGTAGTCGAATCTTTTTCTCTACCCTTGAGGATCTTGGCTAAGCCGAAGTCTGCAACTTTCGGCTGGAAATTTCTGTCGAGTAGGATGTTTGTGGACTTGACATCTCTGTGAATAATCGGTGGCAGCAGATCATGGTGAAGATAGGCGAGCCCTTTCGCTACAGCAACCGCAATCCGATGGCGAGTCGGCCAATCCAAATCACATTTACATATATGCAGTGCATCCCAAAGGCTTCCATTTGGCATGTATTCATAAACCAGCAGGTTGCAATTGAAGCTCGATAAATAGCAATACAACTTCACTATATTCTTGTGCCTTATGTTCCCTAGAGTCTCAATCTCACTTTTCAGTTCTTTGTCCATCAACTGCTGATCATCTGAAGAACCATCTTTCAGTTTTCGACTCCAGAACCGCTTCACCGCAACAACTTCCCCATTGCTCAATTCGATTCTGTAAACCGTTCCCGACCCTCCATGACCCACCACATTCTTTTCGACCATGGCTTCGATGATCTCATGATGGTTGAAGCTTACATGATGAAAGCTTTTCACGTTGTAAGAGAAATATGAGGACGTCCATGTGGTCTCCTGATCATGTTTCACAACATCTCTTTCTGTACTAAACCAACGCCTTAGAAACAGGATGCTTCCGATAAACAAAACCCCAACCGAAACCCCGATCACCCAAAAACAGTTCACTTTCTTCTTGTTATAAGTCTGTGAACATATGGAGAAGTTCTGAGATGCCATGTTTGGGTACACAGAAACACACAGTCCTTTGTTGCCTGTAAAGCTCTCTAACTGTCCTCCTTTGATGAATGACACAGGTATTGGCCCAGAAAGAAAGTTATTTGAAAAGTTCATGGAGCTTGGAAGCAAATCACATAGGCTTTCTGGTACACCACCTGTCAACAGATTCCTTGACAGATCAACAAAATTCAGCCATTTTAGCCAAGAGAGTGAGTTGGGGATGGAACCGTTCAGCTTGTTTCCTTGCAACAGTAAAAGATTGAGTCTTTTTAAGTTGCCAATTTCTGAAGGTATTGGACCAAACAGCAGGTTGTTGCTCAGATCAATCTTTACTAGATTGAATGCTCTAGAGATCTCAGGAGGTATGACACCGGAGATCGAATTATTCTGGAGAAACAATTCGGATAAGTTCCGAGCATTCGCGATTTCTTGAGCTATCGAACCATTCAAAAAGTTGTAGCTTAGATCAATGATGGAGACCCATGGGAGTCCTAGAATTCCATCCGGTATTTTGCCCTCCAGATGGTTAGAATTAAGTCGAAAACGTATAAGTGAGACACATTTACCATAAGATTCTGGCAAGACCCCAGAAAACATGTTGCCAAGTGCTAGAAAGTAAAGTAACTTACCTCCCTTGCACACCTCCGGTGGTAGTTCTCCGGTTAACCGGTTTTCCGACAAGTCTATTAGGATTAGAGGTGATGATCTGCCGAGATGTCGTGGAACTTCTCCGGTTAAATAGTTATCGTAAAGAGACAACATGGTTAAAGTTGTCGAGTTCTCGAGCACTGGTGGGATCTCTCCGGTGAGACTGTTATTGTAAAGCTGGAGGACTTCCAGTTTCGGTAGGCGGCAGATGGTTGCCGGAAGGTTGCCTGTGAGCTTGTTTACAGACATGTCAAGATCGGTGAGTTGTGTTAGATTCCCGAGCTCTTCAGGAATCCGACCAACTAGTTGGTTGTAGTAAAGCTCAAGCTTCTGCAAGTTTTGTAGCAAACCAATCTCTCTAGGAATCGAACCCACTAGAAAATTCCCACTCAATTCAAGATCAACTAGTGACGTCATGTTTCCGATGGATTTGGGGATCGGACCACTCACCATGCAAGTACTCAAGATCATTGATTTCATCTTTGTCAACCTGGAAACATTCTCCGGTAGGTTCCATAGGTCAAAACCTTCGTTCTCGTTGAAGTTCACAACTTCAAGATTCGTGAGGTTTATGAACGACATGGGAAACGCACCTGTGAAGAAATTGAACGACAGATCAAGCAACCTCAGAGATGTCATCGGTGACAAGTCGGGCAACTTTCCGGTGAGATTAGTATACGTTATGTTCAACTCTTGTAGCAGTGAACAGTTGGTGACGCTTCGAGGAAAGTCTCCATGGATCTTGTTGTACCCAAGATGAAGACTTGTCAATCGAGGCAGAAAAGAGCAAATATTTTCAGGAAAACGACCAGATAACAACCACCCAGAAGTATCAATCTTCACCACGTACCCTTCCTTATCGCAGATTACACCTGTGTAGTTGCAGATGGGTTTATCATCCCAATCAATCAAAGAGGTCCCTGAAAGAGAATCTTTCACGAGGGTAAAGAACTCAACCTGATCAGCTATGGCAGATTCATAAGAGTTGGAAAGTGGAAGTAAGATTACAAGATAGATGATGAACATACAGTGAAAACCCATAAGAGAAATGGAAGATAAGAGGAGTTATGTTGGAAAGAAAGAAAAGGGAAGAGATATATAGATGGAACAACTGTTGGAATCATTGTATGCAATACTAGTAGTAACTTGGCTTTCGAAATGAAGAAAAAGGAACCAAAACGTTTCTAGAGGAATGTACACAATAGAGATACGAGTTTCGATGTAAAGCGGCTTTACGTTCAATAGGCTCCCACTATATCTCGTAGAGAATAACATCAAATGCGAACAAGAGCCCTTTAATGTATACCTATACATATATATATATATATATATATATATATATATATATATATATATATATAGTGTTTTGTATAAGATTTGCATCAGATGCCTATGACTGTAAGCTTCTCTCATAGTGATGAAGCTTTTGTCTCTTGGTTCACATACATCAAACAATGGTATGTTTAGATGTTTGGCTACAGAAACATCCAATCTTGCTACAGTTTAATTTGTACTTCCAAGGTGTTCATTTACTAATTCAATATAACATATTCATCTTTGTGATATGTAAATGCAAATGTTGTAATATTACTTTACATAAATAAAAACTCTTGCTAAACGTATTTGCATATATATATATATACACGAAAGCAATATATATATCGTTTTCTTTTCTATATATGGATCAAAGTTTCTCACCTTGAACCACTCAGTGATTCATGATTCACCAAAAGGGTTCTTTCTTTCTTGTAACACAATAGTTTTTGTATATTATTAAGGATTATGTTTAAACTTAAGGATTATGTTTAAACTTTGCAGCAGTTCATATGTGAGACATGTCATTTGTATATTATTCATTTGGATCATGAAAACACTACAATTCTGAATGGTTTCACCGACAGATAGATCCGTTAGTAAAAGGGAAAATCATCGGTGATCCGTAGGCAAAAGTCCGTTGAGTAAACTTTTGTGGGTGAAGGTATCTACAAGAAAATTGAGGTTTTGTTTTATACTTGAAAATCCTAAACACTTCTTTAAACCCATTTTAGAAGATTTTTAATTGTCAACAAGCTTCTTTGTGTGTTTTTATTAGCTTTTAGAGACGGTTTTTTTGGGACTTTAGTTACACTTCAAAGTCTGTAAGTTTCTCTAAAAGTATATTTATTATGATGTTTTTGAAGTATTTTTGCCAGGTTATAAAAGTTACTAAAAGATACTTTAAAAAAAAGTATATGAAAAAAATTTCTCTAAAGATATATGTTTTAGCGACTCTTTTCAATAACCTTCTCTATAAGGTCCCATTCACTTACACTTCCAAAACCTTCTTTAAAAGTTATTTTTAGATACACAAACTCAAAATCTTCTATAAAAATAATCTTTAATTAGATGCATTTTTTAAAAATCAATTCATTCTCTAACAAATAAATATTTTATATTAATTTCATCCATATTTCAGTTGCATATATATAAAATGAAATAAATAAATGGTATTAATATTAATCAAGAACAACTTCAACAAAATTCCAAAACTATAAAATTTTATAGATTTGTCATATAAAACTAGAACTTTTTTTAGAAGAAACCCTAACATTCAATCAATTCATGCATCCATCCAAATTTAACAAAGGAACATACAAAATCATATTAGAATGTTTAACGACCTTGAGTATTAGAACCATGGTCTTGAACATTTCGTGAAGATGAAAAACTCGGAAGTGGTTGGCCGGAAACAATTGACCTCACTATTTGATGCAACTTAGCCACTTCATCCTTCATAAGAAAGAGCTCACATTTGGTGGAAGCAAGCTCGGATTTAGTTAAAGCAAGCTCGGATTCCGTTAAGGCAAGTCTAACATATATCTCAGTGTGGCTCAATCGACCTAAGGAGTCGGTGCTATGCCGTGAATTCATGGAGTTGCTCCTAGTGCTCGGTACCCTAGACCATCCCCAAATATATGATGATTGTTTAACTAGGACTTGTTGCATAATCTCTAGATCATCGAGGGGATTTTCCGGATTATCCGGTCCACTGCTAAAATCCAACACTAATGCAAAAATGTAGCACTCTTAGTTGAAGATACTAACCGTACTCTCTCTTCCCAACTAATTTCTTCCATTGTTCCTTACCGCTATCCATAAAGGTCACAATTTTCATTCAATATTTCTACAACACTACTTACGAAAATGAAGATCGAAGTTGGAAGCATGTTGATTTCAACAGGCAGGCAAGGGTAGGCACATCCCAAGGTCACGCAAACGTAAAAATCCAGATATGATTAGGTATATACTTAATTTTATGCATTTGTTTTGATTCCAAATTGTAGAAGTACAAAATTTTCATTAGGAACAACATGTTGATAGATGTTCGTTAGTTTTTTACGTTTAATTCATGATGAGTTTATATGTATTTGGATGTTTTTTTTATGATGTGTGTGAGCTAATTCATCGACCATGCTAGACACATTTAGTTTAAGCTTTAATTTAGGTGTGAGGATGGTTGGTTTGAATACATATGAATCATGCCGAGTGTTGGATTAGTTTATGGAATGCGTACATCTGAATAATGCAATTTTGAATCAAACATATATATGAAATAAAAGATCTGTTTTTTTTCAAGTTCATAGTTAAGTGTTTTCATTTACAAATTAAAAACCACAAAAAGATCTGTTTTTTTATTTAAAAGATCTGTTTTCTTATTACATCTTCATCATCAAACTAAAACCCCAAATCCAAAGTTTGTTTAATCAGTATATGTGTGAAAATCTGTATTCTGAAATTCAATTAGATAGTTTGAACTTCACTGAAAACTGAATAGAAAATTTATGTAGCATCTGTACAAATCAAAATAAGGCAAACATTTAACCAGATCACTCACTTGATTATGTTAAGTTTGATGAAGTGTGCCCTTTTTTTTCTATTAACCTGGATATCCAACCCGCTATGCGAGCGGACTAATTCCAGGGCGACTATCTGCTTTGCAGATAACCCGGAGTCATCGCATTTGAACCTCCGTGGCCACAAAGAGATTTTTATTCCTCCAAGTGTGCCGTTTTAATCTTTAAAATAAAGTCATCCCTTATTATAACATAAGATGCATATAAGGTGGGACTTGTGCAAGCATGTATGTATCAAATTGGATAGGTAGGATCATCTACTTAATAATAATGACACAAAAGTAAATATGCCCACTCTTCATAAAGAAGTGTTTGGTTGATTGATTTGGCATATGGGTAATTCATCAAAGATGCTCTTCTTGTATATTTTATTTCTTCTTTTGATGAGGAAGTTTCTTTACTTATGTGCTTATCTTTTTAAGTAAAATATTACAAAATAAGAGTAGGTTAAGATGCACAATTAAGCACATTAGCCAAGTGCAAACATCCACTATGTTGTTCTTTATGCAAAATCTTACTTAAAGATTACATGCTTTTTGTTGAAATTCAAAGCTTACCCATTGGGGAAGAAGGAATCAATGTTGTAGTGAGCAATCAAGTTCCAAAAGGGTAATTTCATGTTGTATTAGGTTACAGTTATAATGTTATATCAATATTATTGTTTATACTTTGACTGATAAAGATATAATAACTATTTAATTTGTGGATTTTGATATAGTTTTGTTGATGTTTGATGTGATTGTAGTTGAATGTGTTAGTGGAATGAAAATGTGGTGAATAAGATGAAGTTGCAAGCTGAAACAAAGAATGCAGATTTGGAGAATGGAAGAAGACATAAAAGCATAACTGGACAAATATTTGGCGAAAAGAGTAGAAGTGGGTTGGATAAATCCATGCACGAGGATGGTGAAGGTCTCGAGTTCAATCCCTTGGCAATTAGCCAATCCAGATAGCTTATTCTTTAGGTCATTAGAAATTACAAAAGAGAAGGGAAGAGAGGAGTGTACTGGAGGGAAGGCAGCGGTTCCGGCTCTTGTCAGTATTGGTTTTATTTTATAATTTTCTTTGATTTTGTGCAATGGAGATGAAGATTCAAGATGCAACAAAGTTGATTTCGATGAAGATAGTAGGTTAATCACATATCAAGATTGTCCCAAAGTGAAACTCAAGGTATTTTTTGATTTCGATCTTACCATAGCAGTTAGATGTTAATTTAGGTGTGAAGACGATTAGTCTGGACACACATGGGTTACGCATCTTAGATCGATTTCATGTTTATATCGTTAAACAATGTAAGTTCATAATAGAATTTGTGAAATATGCGCTTGAATCATGGGGAATCATTGTAGCCATGTATTCTCAAATCAAGTACATAGACTAATGTCCATCCATCTGAACCCAAGTGATACAACAACTAAAGCATTGTTCAACCCTGTTATCACATCCCATATCGGAATTGGTATCATCCCTCATAAAGCAATAGAGAACAATAGTTGTATAAACACATGGCAATAATGAATCTTGAAACTATAAAAGTTGTAATCTTCAAGGTTAACACACGCCCAGTATTCGAAGCATACGTGCTCGAAAATTTTAGTTTATTCAACCATTCACATACTTGTTTTACGTGAGATTTTCTTAAATTGTATGACACCTTCAGTATTACTACTTTATTGTCTGAAGTTGAAATGTGAAACTCGCATAGATGACAATAAGTCTCTACATCTCTCTTAGCCATTATATTGTTTTTCAGTTTCGACGTGTTCATGACAATGTTAAAGAGATTCTCAAAAACATTTTTCTCAATTTGTATGATAGCATCTTCAACAGATTCTTCAAAATAGAGAACCAAAATTTAAAATCTTCAAAAAGAATACATTTATCTCTAAGAGATTCCCCCATCTTGGAGAATCCAACGTTGATTATAATATAAAAATATTGCATTCATTTATTAAAATATTAATTCTCTCTCTAAATTATTAATTTTCAAAGCTTCCTATTGGTGGGATCACTTGGTAATCATTTTTTGGGTGTTCTCCATATTTGGAGGAAAAAACCCTTCTCTCTCTTACTTTTCCATTTTGGAGAAGCTGTTGGAGCAAAATATTGGCTCAAAATCCTCATTTTTTTCTATTTTGGAGAAGTTGT